CAGAACCTCGGGTTGCACAGGGAGGAAGGGGCATAAAAGACCTCTGCCTTTCATATCTGCCTCTGAAGACTTCCTCCCCACAGAAACATTCTGGTGAAGCTCTCCCACACTGTTGGAAGCATCTTTAACTGACTGCTGGGTCTGCCATGCCTAGCCAGAGAACTCTGATCACCTTTCCTTTCCCTTAACCTCACTGAGAGATCTATCACAAGATGTAAAGGATGCTCCCAGCTCGTGCAACACACACACACACACACACACACACACACACACCCCTCTGGATGTCACCCTCACCCCCCATCTTCGTCACCCTCGATGGGCTGATGTCACACCACCATGCTGGTGGCATGGACAAATAAGATTGGATTGCCTGCGTTTAGCAGATCTTCCAAAACAAGGAGTAGGCTCAGTTACTTGAACTGAACTGGGAACTTTAACCACACCATTTCCAAACTGGGTTGCCTGACTGATGTAGGTATTACCTGACAGACCTGCTACTTGTAAGGATTTTCTTTCCAAGGGTGTCATTTGTCCTCTTTTTTTTTTTCTTTTGTTTGCCTTCAAGTTTATTTATTTTGAGAGAGAGGGTGGAAGAGAGAGAGACAGAGAGAGAGAGAGAGAGAAAACATGTGAGTGGAGGAGGGGTGAAGAAGGAGAGAGAACCCCAAGCAGGCTTCGTGCTGCCAGCTCAGAGCCCCAGTCGGGGCTCAATTTCATGAACTGCGAGATCATGAAAGAGAGCAAGAGTTGGGCGCTTAACTGACTGAGCCGCCCAGGTGCCCCATTGAAACTGAACTTTTTGCGTGGGAGCTGGGCATTAACCCATCTCACGCCTGAAAACCTCATGACTTGTACCTTACGGTGGTAAACTTGCAGCATCCTGGATCTTCCAACACCCTCACGAGAAGAGCTTAACTCTGAGGCAATAACATCCATACTATGGCCCTCAGGTCTGCCCATTATTTCAATTGCTTTAAGGGAAAGGACACTTGATCTGTTATCTAGGGATACATTCCAGCTGCCTGCTCTGCTTGCTGGGGTGGGGCAAAGGAGGAGAAGAGAGCTGCTTGACTCTCTTCACTTTCACAAATCTTGGGTGCTCTCCTCACCTCTCCTGCTATTCTTCTCATTTCCATTTTCTCTGCAGTCCTTGGTTAACATCCGAGACACCACTCCACCCAAGTGTCTTTACTGCCATGCAAGCTTATTTTTCTTTTGACTTAAATGCCTTTTATTTCAGTTGTGTCTCAGCAGGGCATGACACATACGCATAGACTTGTCTGCTAGCCAGAAGTGAACTCATTAATTTTTAATTTGTCATGTTGCTATCATTTGATCGAGAGTATGAGATTATTGATTTAGGAGCATAACTTGTCACTTAAGTGTTCACCTGACTTTATCCCCAATCTTCTTGCAAATGATTATGCTACTATTGTTGATAATAATAAAGAGTTTCAAATTTTCTTTTAACATTTATTCATTTTTGAGAGACAGAGACAGAATGTGAGCCGGGGAGGGGCAGAGAGAGAGAGGGAGAAAGAGAATCCGAAGCAGCCTCCAGGATCCAAGCTGTCATCACAGAACCCTACGCGGGGCTTGAAATCAGGAACCACAAGATCATGACCTGAGCCGAAGTTGGACACTTAACCGACTGAGCCATTCAGGTGCCCCAATAACAGAGTTTCAAAAGCTATTTGTTGAGTGCTAAAAATGTTTTGGGTAATTTACATATAGTTTCTGCTTTTTAAGAGAAGATGAAGAAACCGTGGTTAGAGGAGCAAAGAAGTATATCGTCTAAGGTCATTGAACTAGTAAGCACCAGAGCCTGCATTATCAGCAAGGGCTGCCTGAATAGGAAGCTTTTGCTTTACCTGTTGTATCACCTTTCCTTTGTTAGTGTATTTAGAAAGTCATTATACTGTAAAAATTCCTGGAAGCCATGCATTTAAAGCCCTAGTCGTGATGAACCCAGGGTGCCTGCCCAAAAATGGCCACCTATATTTTACTGTAAATATACAGCCAGTTCAAACTGTTTCCTCTTTGCATAAGTAAGCCACTTAAAGGTCCTGTTAAAATTACTTCTAAAAATCTTAAAGATGGAATTAAACATTTTTGACACGCTATCTCCTCACATACAGTACCTAGAGAGACTGAACGTTTTGGTCCGTTTTCCACTCAGTGTGCAGACAGTAAGGCTTGCTCTTCTGTGTTTCGTTGCCCTCTTCAATGTTCCCGTAATAGTAGGTTATGCCATTTGATGGGCAATTTGCCTTTGCACCACTTTGCCTGTCATGTTGTTTCCCTAACATTAAGTAGCTGAGACTAGAAAAGGGCTCATAGAGGTTATACAGCTCAATAGAATGTCTGTACTTTTTTTTTCCCCCTTCTTTTTTTAACTTCTCATTACACTTATTTCCTCCTTCACCCTTCTTTACAAATTCACTGGAAACAGTACAGCAAGAAATGCAAATATTCGTTTTTTTCTCCTACAGTGTCCATTAAAAAAATTTTTTTTACAGCATCCATTGATTAATGGCTGATTCAAACTAGGTGAAAAGGAGAGACTAATCAGAAAGAACATAGAAAAATTGTTCTTCTCGGTGTAGTTGTAAATAGCTGCTCTGTTAGGGAATTGGGGCCACTCCCACCAAAACAAAGAGTTAAGGATATTTTTTTTCAAAACAACACCCTGTGTATGTATGTAAATGTGTGGACTATGGATAACATTCCCCATGACAGTCGCCAGAAGGAAAACATGAGATACTTTTGGAACAAACTGCCTTTTTTGACATATACTCACAACATGAATAATCGCATTACAACATTTAATTCAACCAGCATGGTTTGAGAGATGTAAAAATGCGGTTTTCTTGCTGTGTCAGGTCCTCAGCAAAGTGTGGTTATATCTCCTGAGGTCATGTCTACACTTGAGCAGACTCTACATCTGATAAAATGATTATTTCTTGCATCAGGAATACACTCTCTTTGTAGCTCCTATGCAACTCTTTCTTACCTCTGTATAAGATGTGTTTCCTATTGGCACAGTATGCATTTAAAATGGTCCCTTTTACTTTTGGAATTACAAGGTGACTTTTTCACTCCTCAATTTTACAGTTCAGCATGAATATCATCAAATGGTGCAAAACAACTACGGTGGTATTTTGAATATAAAATAAAAAAATGTCTTATGGAAAACTATACATCACATCTACACAGACAGTCCACCTGGTTCAGTGACCCAATCTGAAATTAACTCTAAAATCTTTAAAACAGGAGAAACTATTTCACTTCAAGCCATTCCAGGAAAAATGGAGCCAGTTAACTTAGTCCTCTAAAAATAAATCCTCTGAACTCTTTGCTACCACTTTTTACAAATTCTTGGTCCACCAAGAGGCAGACCTCTTTTTTGTACGTTAGCCTTTGCAAATTATACTTTAAAACTTAACTTGCTCTGAAGACTGACGCAACTTTATTAATACGTCAGGAAATACCTTCAAAAGTACCTTTCACCATCTGGCAATTGAAAGCATTCTGTTCGACACGCTACCAAGGTAACAGAGAATACCATTCTAGAATACTACTGGATTGATTTTTGGCCTCACTTATCTAAACAAACAAACAAAACTTAAATTAACAACTGCAGATTTTGAATCCAGCTTTCTTTTTTATTCATGAAAAATACACACTGCAAGTTACTTCCCTCCAAAAAAAAAAAAAAGAAGTTAAATTAACAACTGCAGATTTTGAATCCAGCTTTCTTTTTTATTCATGAAAAATACACACTGCAAGTTACTTCCCTCCAAAAAAAAAAGTTAAATTAACAACTGCAGATTTTGAATCCAGCTTTCTTTTTTATTCA